TTCAACGGCTGGAGCCAAACATTGTTCCTGTAATTATTGGGCAGTCTGTCACCAGTTTGTCCTGAATGGTTGGTATCCTGTGGACCATGCGCGTTAAAACCATTAGGATGGGCTTCCGTAATCTCTATGGAAGGCAAGGACAGGAAATTCCTCCCAGACCTATCAAATGTGAACCCAACTTGAGCGTTAAGCGCTGAGTTTTAATATTATAATCAGACCTTTAATAGTGATCACACGTGTATGGAGGCGTCATCCATGACGCTTCTAGAACAACGCAGACGATTCATCTTCACAGAGTCCCTGAAAGCAGGTCGGTCCATAGGCAGAGGTCTGACGAGCACACTCTCCTGACCCTCCAGGTTAAGGGTTGGAACATGTGGCGACTTATTCCGTAGAAATGGTAATGCATTTGCATTTCCACCGAACATCACTGCCTTGCGGTTAGGCTTCTGAGCCAAAGGCTTTGGTTGAGGACCCTAATCGTCCTCCTGTTTAGGTGTTGGCACCCTGGCAGTATCTCGTACAATCATGAAGCTTACAACTAAAAATACTCTCATACGGCAGTGAAGCATTTATGTTAAACACTGATGGTCATGCTGTCGATGATGATGGTAATGATGATGATGATGATGATGATGATGATGATGAACCTATAAAGAATGAGAATTGATTCTGAAACCTGACTGCGAATCTGGTATTGTGGCAAAACAGGACACCTTATTTTTGCAAGCTCGACGCTTTCAAATATACTGTTGACAGTCAGTCTGACCATGAGGCATTGACAGAGGAAAGGAAATTCATTTACTCTGTAGCTTCAACTTGCAAACTGCTTTTTATGTGTTTGATGCAATCTGATATCACTGTCCATGGAGCTTCATGAATTCGAAATTTCTGTTTTCTATGGATGACTCACCGCTCATTAAAATGACATTTATGGAGAGAACCTAAAAACGGTCTTTTGAACGCACTATCCTAAAAAATGATCACAGACTTTTTAGGTAACTGGCGAGTGCGAAAATTGCGAACTCGACTATGCACTATTTAGAGGTCAAGGCTTTGTTGAACAGAAAGCCCCAGAGAAACTAAAGATTTCTTATGTAATTTTCTACATCCTAAATTTTATGTCCAGGTATTACGTCTTTGCTGGTTCGAAACCTGAGGGAGCCTATTACCGTCTTGCTAACCTCGTACAAGGAGTAATGTTCCAAATAGGAGACCCAATTCTCCCGGTATTTTAACCTCACGTTCTGTATCCCCTAACCGTAATTCTAAGAAGAAAGAGCTGCAACTTTATCGGTTTCTGTGCAAGTGTGGTCGTTCACTTTGCTCTACAGAGCCAGACTGATTTGCGCTCCTAGTACACTGGAAGAAAAATCCACCAACTCAAAAGAGTACGATGGAGTAATTATCTGGGATGACAGTTCACTGAGAGTGCTGAACGGAAAATCACTCAAAGAAGTTTGATATTACTTTCACCGTAAACTGTTGACGAAATGTCAGCCCCTTTCAAGCCAGCTGGATGTTCCGTTGGAAAATATGTTGTTATACCAAAAACCAAGAGGAACCTCACCTTCGCCACTAAAAGTGGTGAAGTCTGTTTTATTGACTAACGATAGTTCGCCTGTATCTCCGATGAAACTTATGATGATCGAACTGACAACTTTCGGTCAAACCGACGGATAATCGATTGAAAGATGAAATTCCTCGGTGTGTATTAATCAGTCAATAGGATCCAGTTCAGTGAGCTAATTAAGATTGAGAGTGTCATGGTTTTATCGATTTGGTCAAACTTTCTATGATTTATCTAGGGGGCTCATTGTTGCCATAATTCATCTGTTCTCCCGTTTACTTCGCTTTATGCATTTTTGCTTGAGAGTTACAAAATGGGTTCCCCCGCGTTCTAATCTTACTATTGACGGTAATTTGGACACCAGTACAACATTAGTTGGATAAAGATAGATGCCTCACCAATTGATGAGCCTTTAGTGCTCACAGCAGAGTGGGGAAAACAGGGGTAACCAAGTAAATGAATTCCACAAATCACAAGATTTACATGTTTGCCAACCTAGGTGTGTTCTAGGACCTGGAGCGAGTGGCTCGTGTTTCACAGGTATGCGCACCAACTAAAGTAAAGTGGTCACAAGAGGACCAAAAGGTGTTAGTTGCTTGACAGAGATACAGATGGATTAGCATGCCACCAGGATTTCTCAGAACCATTGGTGCAGACCACAGGGTGTGTGGAAGAAACGGCTTCGGCAAAAAACGGCGCTTGTTAGACCACTACACTTGGACAACAACATAAGCGATAGGGTAATCAGCAAACGATCATTTGTTGATGCCAATGTGAGGGAAGTATGTGGTTACTCTAAAGGAGACAAAAGAGGAGATCCAAGCACTTTTGGGTTAAGACAATGTGAAAAAAACTTTTCATTAGAGCATTGAAGACTTGATTTAAGATGCGGACTAGGCAACAGAATGTGAGTGACTGGTTATAATGTAATTCGCAACTAACTGTGGATAGTTTCACGCAGAAAACGAAAACTAGGTCGGGAAAGCTCTTGCGGAACACCTGCCTTGGTCAAAAGTAGGAGGTATAGTGACCAGCAAAATAACTGTCCATGATTTTGGCGAGGTCTCGAAATGAAAAGTTCACATGACTGGAAAGATGCATTTGGGTAGAAATGCCGATATCTCGCCTGCCGAACGGCGCCGGACTGGAGATCTGAGACGCTCATTGTCCGCCACGCCCATATACCAGAACTTTACGGCTGATTCGTCACACTTGTTCCCAGTGGACTAACTTTTGACACGTGCGATTGCCAGCAATGAATACCATATGTGAGTTTCAGAAGTTTGTATCGTTCATGGAATCTGACAAGATAATTGTAAGATAGGAGTTCCAGTATGTAAGCTCGATGAGCCCTTCTGAAGGCAGTGGTGTTATCATCGAGAGCCTGCTCACATTTTTTCTATCCAACTCTGAAGCGACGGAATGTACGAGCGCAAATCATGAGCGTCAGTCAGAAACTTTACGGTTGTTGACCAAGTCCAGCGATATCCCCATTTTTGGCAGAATTACTCTAAAGCACTAATTATGTGGCAAGTGCATTCAAAATCAAGGACGCACTATCGAATCTGTTGAAATCGTTCCATGCCATACAAGAAAGTTAGTCAAGTTGGCGGAAGTGTCGTCACTGGGCACTAATTTGTTTATCGCGAAAATTCTGAACTTAAAGCAAACGCTAGTTCACGTAACCGTTAGTCAAGTTGGCGGAAGTGTCGTCACTGGGCACTAATTTGTTTATCGCGAAAATTCTGAACTTAAAGCAAACGCTAGTTACTACACGTAACCGAATTATTTGCAAGAAACCTATTTGAAACGGAAAGATGAGATAGCTCATGGTTTTAGCGTCAACGGTTGGATTTCTTTCAAGTTTTTCTAATTCGGATGGCAACACCACTGTTGTAGCAGTTCATCGGGAATGCAGTTGCGATTAGATTTATTTTTCCTGGATGAAGTATGACGACGCCGGTAATTCTGTATTAATTAGAGGATGTTAAAGGGAAACTGATCAAGCTTCCAAAACCAAAAACCAACACTGTTAGATATATTCGGTAAGAAATGCATTTCGTTGATACTGAGATGTCTAACTGCGACATACTGGCCTGCACAAAAGCCTTCCCTACCACCATACCACAAAGCTTCACAACCGGTCTCCTGAGCTAGTTCCTTGGTGAGTAGCCAAAGCAACTGACGCAAAGCATGAAAGAATTTCGGATATTTGACCATCAAGCACCACTCAGCTAGTAAAATTCGGGTTCAAGTGGGAAATCCTTACACTGCAACTTGGGAAAATCTTAACAGAGCACAGCTAATTGTGTGATTTGTGCTTCTGCCGTCTTCCTTAATCAACAGATATTTAACCTTCTAACCTAGAGAGCTTGTCACCTAATCCATTGGCTTGGTCCCCGGAAGTTTCCTGATTCACCCCTTACAAAAAAGGAAGGAAGCAAAGTACAATACCCATTGGATTCTCGGCACAAACTGATTCACGTTTATGGTACGAAATTCGAACATCTGGTGTTACACTACTTCCTCAACACGTCTCAAAAAATTTCGCGCTTATTTCTTTTCCTCCTTGCGGATATCTGCCTACAAATCAAATATGGCGAAAACCACAGAGAACTGTTCTCACGACCTGACAAGAATTTTTCAATATACAGCCGACAGGGATCTGTCTGGTCCTAATTGTTGGCCGGTTCTCACGTTGAGGTGCAAAGGGCGATTTTCTTCCATTAAATGTAACCACTCAGGTTTGTGGCAAGCATTAGTAACGATATGTGATCATGTCTGTGGTACTAATCAGTCATGACAACCAGTTGCCACAACAACCCCGTATAATTGAGTATTCTGGACAAATTCCGTTTGTCACGTATCCTATCTTCCTTACTTTTGAGCCCACGAATCCAGACAATCCGGGAATCGTTCTCACCCCAAGGCAACTTCTCGGCAGAATGAGAATCCAAGCTATGCTCGGTGAACCATTTCCGCACGTTTAGTGATGGCTGATGAACGATCAGCTCTCTCTTCGGATCGACAGAACGCTGCAGAACACAGTTTGACCCGAAAACAGCAGATTTTGACCCTGGGGTGACTGGTGGAGTCATATCTCAACACCTAAACTATAATTAACGGATTAATGCGTCAATGTTCGATACCCTGCGGGTACGAATTGACATCCAAGATGGATCAATGACTATTTGTTCATCTAATGACGTGAATACCGTGTCATCACTCAAATCAAGCGTGACTGATCATACCAAGAAGTAAGGACACATACAATGCGCACTCGTGGATTAGATGAATCTGCCGGTCTGTTTTCGACCGACCGGTACTACTTCACTAGCAGTCTAAGGTCTAAACCTCCTCGATTTATGCGAGTAGAAATGGAAGAAAGGAAAGAAAAATCACCTTCATTCCACTCAATATGTACATCAATCTTTACAGGTTGGACCTGTATACAAAAAAATTGAAAGGGGGATCTGATCGGGGAAAATATCTACAAACGAAAATAATGGGTTTGAGTAATAGTTGAACTGGTGGAGTGAATCGATCGGGAAAATATAAGGGTGCAAAACTTGGGAATGATCTGGCGTGTATCACAGTCGCGGAAGGCATATATGGAATCTGACTCTGGAGTGCATATGTAGGATGCAAAAGATAGGTTCAATCTTCTTTTCTTTGAAGAAAGAGATTAGGTAATCAAGATAACCGGAGTCGTTTGAGTAGGGATTTTGAGTACGTTAAACTTTCGATGATACCGCACTGATGGAGCTGGTCTCAGATAGGGAAGACTTTGTCAAAGTTGCCATCTTTTCACGTTTGGTGTAGTAAGTCTGTAGCTCGTGCAATTCGGATACAGAGACATGGACCCAGTCAATAAATTTTTGTCGTACGTTCGCAGAGGGAAACGTGAAATTGAGTTTGGGACCTTCATCGTTACATAAGCATGCACCATGCCGGTGATCTACAAGGCAGAAAGAAGAGGCAAGCTCAACGATAGTAGCTTCAGCGGTGAGACAAACAGAAATGCGTAGCACTCAAAAAGTCGATCAAATGAGAAAATAAACAGGCTACTTCATAGAGTATTTGTGATCATTCCTGAGGAAAACTGTGAGAAACCGGTGCACAGTCTAGCGTGTGAAATCACTTGGGTTTGGTCTGTTGTTTCAGAATACGTCCTGTTCTTGAACACTCCACTCATGGGGGGAAGCGGGTCAGTTTGCCTTGACAGTCAGCGGGACAAGCGAAAACGGAAACGAAGTTGAAAGTTGTCGCGCTCAGCTGGAAATCCACCTCCAGCTGTTTATGCGTCTTTCCATTTGTGCGCCGAATGTTGAGGAATCTGTTGATTAGCAACCTGAGTCAGACGCGTATGTGAGGCACGGCGCTGCGCGAAAGTAAAGCAAGCAAGCTAATTGGGCTGAAGGACACAGGTTGTGACTGTGTTTTCAGCGGGGCGCTCGATCTGGAGACGAGTCGGATGAAGGTTAAACGAAAAATAAACACTTAAAAGTGAAACGAGAAAGCAACTTGCATTGTGTTTCAAACACCAACACGTGAGCCCCTTTCAGTGGCAACACAGCGCGGATTTGGTACACACCAAGTGTCATTGGTTCCTGCGAAAAATACTGGCTTGATTTCAGCTTGGATAAGGTCGATGCGGAGGCAGCATCCTGTCCCAGGGCAACCGAGGCAGCGTTGTGCCAAATAGATCCGGAACTTCCGGAATGTGCTCCAGAAACAAGTTTGGACACAATTAAGATGTCGTTAAACAGGAGAATGTAGCGCCATCGCTTGTGGTGACGTGACGGCCGGACAACAATTCGGTCCAGTTGTCGTCCGACTACCCAGCCAACAAATCTTCGATGGCGTTGAATGAAATTATCGGTTTTCAGCGTCCCCACCAACATTGAATCTAGGCGTCGCATTCGATCCATGGGGTCCGGCAGCGTCTTAAATTCATTTTTGGCCACACGGTGATAAATACCACAGAGCAACTCCAGTGGAAGGTCTTGACCATTGTCGATGCCACGATTATTATTTATAAACTCCTGTTGTGTCATTCGTTGTCCGAAGCGACGCACATTTGGATTGTGAAGATCGGTGTGAAGCATTAGAGTTGAATAGGCCAAGACTTCTACCGTTTCCTCGTTACAAAACATTCGTGCAACCAAGTTTCGATTTTTCGCGCAGTAAACTTCTTGGAAGATTTTCATCAGGTAACTGATTTTCTGCGATTCTCCCTGAGGGCAAGTCAAATTAAGAGATAGGGATTACTAGGAGTATCGAAAAACTTTCAAAAATCCAACTGTACTGAAGAACAGCATATTTTCTACTTATTTCGTCGCCACCCTATTTTTGTTGTATTTTATTGCTGTTGTGTGTCGTTTCAGAAGAGATGTGTCCGAAAATGGACCAAAAGTATCCAGTCCCAAAATCGTTCTTCTTGCGCAAGACATGGAGCTGTAACGCAGTAAGAATCTTCCCAAAGGACGACTCCACGACTAGGTTGAGAAATGCTAACTTCATACCAAAGCTATAGCATCCGGTTGGGGCCGAAAATTCTGTTTCTGGGTATGAAAACATGTGTCAATTTTCCATTTATGGTACATATTTAATTGCGTAGTGCCAAGCACCGTCAGTATTTGAGTATTTGTCCCACCTTTACGCAAATAACGAGGTGGTGAGAATACCATACCGATTCGTAATTTCACTTTGCAGGGTGGCATGGCGTACAGTAATTGATTCAGTCCGGTCCACAAGCCCCCATAGAATAAATAGGCATCGCTTAGACATGTTTTTGATAAGGCGAGTACTAAGGCTGTTTGGAATTTGAAACAGGGCAACACACACCAGTTCAAAGCTGCCCATCTCGGGTCCACAAGCCCCCATAGAATAAATAGGCGTCGCTTAGACATGTTCTTGATAAGGTGAGTCCTAAGGCTGACTGGAATTTGAAACGCTTTCGAATAGCAGGGCAACACACTCACCAGTTTGAAGCTGCCCATCTCACCTTGGGCGTACAGCTAGCCAAAGTCAGGGAGTAGGCTGATATGTACCGCATTCTTCCATGGAATCTGAGTTTCGAGGAGTGAACAGCTTTACTAAGCGTTTTCAGTCAGTGTTCATAGTCCTAAAGTTGATATCACTTATGTTCAGCCCAAGGCGAACCTGAATCACTCAAACTGATTGTGGTATGATATTACCGTGAGGATAACCACATTCAAATAGATGTACGCTGGAAGTTTATAGTCTTAAAATTATCGTAAACCTATTAAAACCTTAATAAAAACCTGTCGATGAGTTTTCAGCAACCTTATGAGTAGTGCACCACGNATTTTCAGCAACCTTATGAGTAGTGCATCACGAATATACATGTATCGCGATATCTCGAATATCGTAGCGACTGAAACATGAGGCAGCCTGGTGCAGCACATTCAGTTGTCTGGACACATCACAAACGAGAGATTCAGCTGGGTTCCATGTGAGTCTCTCAAAAAAATCAAATTAGTTTGCAAATGAATGTAGTTCGCTAATAACCCACTTTTTTCGTAATCAGCCCCATGACGACCGTGGAAAAATATGTAAGTGATCTTCAAAATGTTTTTCACGCTATAAATTTTCTCACGCAAAACTTCGTGAAAAAGCGCTGAACACTTAGAGAACATGAGAACACGGGCAAACTTACCGCGGGATGAAAGTGGGAAAGCACGGCTCTGACCGCCTCGTCAACTTGCAGCTCCTGCATGGGGACCAACCGCAGATACTCTCTGCGAAAATAAAGAAATCACATTAGTTCAAGTGTCCTAGATATCCTTTTGTATTCGGGTAAGACACAAGAAATCCGCCATACCGAAAGCTTAATTATCGATTCTGTTTTGTGGAACTATATTAAATAAAAACAATGAACAATACCAGTTTGTAGAGTGAGGCGAAAAAGTTTCTAGTTGGAGAAGAGCTTGTCAAACAATCAGTAGGTTTCTTTGCTTTAAACTGGAACAGTGGTGAGTCGTGCTCCGATATAGACCGTCTTCGAGGCACTTCGGTTCATAAAATCAAAGTTTACATCAACCTACTTATAGTGTAGAGCAGTTAGAGCACTGATGTAGATTTGGCCGCGCAAAGAATGCTTAGTCCAAGCGGTACACTTACCTGAGTACTTGGGTTGAAAATGGATCTGCAATGGAACCAAAATACTCCCCAATGGCCTGACGACTGAGACCCTCGTGGTTGAAAATCCAGCGTGCCACTGCGATTGGAACGGAAGCCACCAACCCGTTTTCAGTCAGATATCTCACACCTTCATGAGGAGTCCTATAGTATGGGTTGAACAAATTGTAGAAAGAGGTATGTCAAATGGGTCACTAACTCAGCTGTTTGAACGCCATAATGAGCGAAACGATGGTGCTTGGTCTGAAAACAGCTTGGAATTAACCAAAAATTAATCTACACACGTATGGTGGATCGAGAGCGTATTTTTCATAATTCCCATGGCGCGGTCTAATCGTTAAACAGGGTGCGTCACATAGGGAACGGATGATTTACTAACAAATTTATATTTACGGAACTATAGTAGACTGCATGTCACAAAAATCGATCGAAACTAGGTATTGCTTCAAACAACAGAACCTACTTGTTAAATAATGTCTGTCCAACATACAAGTGGCATCTTCTTTTTGCCCGATTTAGTGATTTTCGTAGTCGCACGGCCCATTCGTTAGCGCGAAACTCGGAGTTCAGTCGATCCACATTCGCGGGTGCAAAGCTGCTCTCTTCCGTGTCACTGTTGGTTGATGTCGCCTGATCTCCAGTCGATGGATCCAAAAAGCTCAACTCGGATGACCATCCAGAATCTCGGCCCACTGATCTGATGGACCCTTCGAACTCGCTCCTTCGGAAAAAGTCTCGAAAAATTGAACTATCAGATTCGACCAGTCTAGGAGGTGCATTAGTTGGCGAAGAGGAAACGGGATGAATGTCCTGGGACTGAATTCCATTATGTGAGGACACTGCCGGGCTGGATATGTAATCACAGCCATCATCAGTAGCAGTCCGATCACCTTCCGAGTAGGTTTGGAGCAGGACAGATTTTGAGTAGCCATCGTAGACCGCTCCATTTATTCCCGTGGGAGGTAGCACATAAGGATTCTGATCGAATGAGTCGTTTTTGTCATATTGATCACCTTCAGTAGAGACGCAGTCTGGCGACTTTTGTGCCCCAGTGTTTGTTCTGCTTAATCCTGAGGCGGACTCTTGCTCCATTGGAGTTTGGTACAATTCATCCATCGTACTTGGGAGTCTGTAGAGTATGAGGAGGACCATGAAACGGTTAGTCGATTGAAGCCAATGCATCCTAGTTATTCTGGTCAATATTTGTTATTCTTCCATGTACTTCAATTTCTGACGCGTGCCAGTCATCTTCAGGCAACCTACCACCACCGATCTAGTTGCAGGCTCTTTGTCTTGAGTTTCCCCAATCGATATTCCCCGGACAGGGTGCGTCACCGTTTACAAGAGTTCTGCTGGTCCATATGGTGGAGACAATACGGCTGGAATAGTTCCAGATGCTCCACGTCAAACTTAGATCATGCTCTTTTCCTACCACCTCCCTCACAGCACAGCCACGTGGAGGCGTTTAGATCGAGAATACTTCTCCCCACCAGCTCTTAGTCCATATGGACGAACCTAGTCGTTCCCGCATCTGACCAACTCACGTGTGCTCATTATGCCTCCCATTCACCCACCCTGTCTTCCACCTTGAGTGGGGGAAGTTTGGTTATGGACACACGAACGCACCTGCACGTGAGTTGACAGCCGTTCACACAACTGGTTCCCCATCACACACGCGCATAGTCGAGAGTTTGAGCACGTGCTGCGTTCCTCAGCTAAAAGCGGCGTTGTGTGGGTTGAACTATTTAGTATAGGGGAGCGAGCTTACGGTAATCAGACATCCAGGCCGCATGAAGGCTTCTAACCGGTCGGTCGGACCGAAAATGGAAGCAAACTCAACCGCTTCCAGTGAATGTCTTAATCTGTGTGCACAAAACCGCCTATCGTTAATGCGAGATCCGGAAATTTCGTCCTGTAGGTGAAACTGATCTAAGCCGGAAAGCCGAGAATCAAGGAAAATAGAACCACCTTCTCATAATTAACAGACAATGACCCTTGGGTCCAAGAGAAAGGTGTCGAACAGCTATTTAATAAAGACTGCATACTGTCGAGACTGAGCTCAACTGTTCGCAAAGTGATGGGCGTGCAGTCTTGAGGCAACGAAACAGGAACGAATAGTGTATGGTAACCCCAACTAATACGATATACATCATAGGCTATTCGTCATGCAGCAACTACTATGCAGTAGTACGTCACAAATTACTATCGGTATGTTAACTTTCGGAATAACCTTGTCATCTGGGTTTGATGTTGTTGTCCTCGTGCATTACATGTTTCAGTTACATATGTCTGCAAAACATTCCGGCTATAGCGGTCCTTGGGGTGGTGCAAACCACTTTTAAAAGTCTGACTTAAACTGAGAATCATTTTACTGTTGATTTCTGTCAGCGCGAGTTCCGAAAATTCCAACTCATCGTCCGCGAGTGGTCGATTTTCCTTAAATGGATTTAACAGCTGGTCAGAACTATTTATTTTGTAGAACGAATTCTACAGCTGCATAATTTTGCCCGACTGACACTTGTTCCCGGAGGTGACTGATGTATACTTGACGATCGGGAGCCTGATCCTATCTAATCCCCGCTTGAACCCCCTAATAAAAACATTTTGTTTCCAATTTTTACACCATTTTCATGATTTAAAGACCCTGAAACATAGCTCAACAGCTGGACTCAATTCATGTAAATAGTTAGTACATGGACGCCCAGAATCGCTCAAATTTTCTACAAACAGACCCATAAACACGCTAAAGTGGAAATTGCGGCCAAATTGTATCTGAGGAAAATCCACGCGTCTGAATTCCCAATAAAAAATGCTGTGTTATGTCTCCAGCGTCAAGGAAGTTAAGTGACCAGTGCAGCGTCGAAAATTAAGACTCACCGTTCTGAAAGCGGTTTGAGATTGACTGACTTTCTCCTGAGTTCACAGAAAGATACTTTGAACCGCTTTTTCTCACCCATAACAGGCACTGGTGGACACATTAATTCCGTAAGTGTAGGTTCACTTTTTCGTTCAAGTGGTGAGCGGTCTCTATCAACGGTCAAAGATCTTCGACGGCGCCAACTGCTGAGCATTGAAACTCGTCGTTTCGGATCATTTTCCTGGTTTGTCCGCGGACACGGCTGCATGCTGAAACGTTGAACTAATTTTTGCAGGGGCTGAACGAGTTTGTCCCCTATGGAACTGGGGGGTTCTGAATCACATGTTGCAGTGTTAAGTGAAATCGGTCGTAGGGCGGCAGGCTTGTTAATGGCACAATGGCTTCCCTGATGTTTCCGTATTTTAAATATTCCAGGGCGCGGATTTATTGTCAAAGGAATCCGTGGATGGCCCGCAATATCACCACCATCCATGCTGGGAGGTGTTCGTGGAAAATGTGGAAATCGAAAGCCTTCGTATTCAGATAAATGTCCGATTGCTGGAAGGATGACGGAACTAGGTCTGTTTCCACCAATCGGTGCACGACAGTGGCGCGTGACAGCTTCCACCAATCAGATGAAAGCTTCAGTGGCCATAGTCACACTCAATCAGCGTCAGCACGATGGAGCGTGTGGCCGGTGAACCGAAAGCAGCGAACGAAAAACCAATGCATCTTCTCACAGTCGGTACTTATGTATGCCATATCTTATTTGCACTATGCACAAAGAATCCTACTGAATATCCCGAGTATCTCGTTTTCCTAACAGCTTGACTTTTCCAGTGGGCGAATGTAGCAGTAGACTAAGTGAACAGTGAATTGCAACGACCGTGATGTGTTTAGTTAATTTATCTGAAGATCACGCTCTCCGGATGTTACCATAAATGGAAGTTGTCTGCGTGATATGAGAAACTATGGAGGATTCCCTAAAGTCACATGCTTCTAAGTAGAACAATCGAGTGAGCAAATTGTCACAATGTCAGGCTACTAGCAACCATGCCCGGGAACTTGTGGAATGTTAATTACGTGACGTAATCATTTGTTTCCCTATTCCTCAGACAAATTTATCACCCTTCCGGTGACTGCTTAGGTTTCAAGACTGAACTATTCTATTTTATACAAAGTCGACTCTACCTCAACCGTTTTTCCTATAGACGATTTGTTTACATTCATTTCTGAGCTTGTTGAACATTTGTCCCACTTTGAACTGAACAACATTTTCCCCGTTTCATTTGTCCGATAGCACACTGCCCTTCGTTTACCATCCTGTGTTGCTAACTGCCCAAGGTTCAATCTAGCCGTAAGCCTTTCTTTAATTCTCCTCACGATTTACTATTAATTCCCTATAGAACCAACGTCTACCTATCTACACTATCTGCCCACGTCCAATTCAATATATTGTTCACTGCCCAATTGCGACTACTGAACGAAGGCAGGTGAAGTTCGTGGAATTCGGTTTCTCCACAATCATTACTGACCGCCCATCGGTGAATTAGGCTACACGTTACCTGTCAGCTGGGCCCCCTAGATCGTGCGTTTAGGCTAATTAACCAATTACTTGCTTTAAGCTCACGGCAAGAAGAAATGGAATGCCCACCTACCTGTCTATTTTTGGCACCTTATTTATATATTTATTTCCGACGCAACACAATATAAGTGTACCGCTGAAGACTATGGCTGCTCACGAACGGCCATCATAAGCGGGAGATTTATCATTCATTGACTCAGTGATTAGAGCGCGAATTTACTGCCCAGAAGGTCCGTGGTTCGAATCCGACCTCTGTCTCTCGACTTGTCCTGTCTAGGCTTGGGCAACCTGACAGTATCCCAGCCCTCGTGCTTCCTTCGGGTAGCATGGCAGCTAGGCACCAAGAGGGTGTCACAGCTGAACGTTTATTTTTTTAATTTTGTTGGTAATAATTTATTTATTTAATTTGTTTCATTTATATTCACTCCATGCAGGTTTAGTTACGGCCAAGCCTTTTGGAGTCACTCCTGCTCCGGACATTTTTAGCAATTCGGTTCCCCTAACGGAAAACGGATGTCACACTTGTCCAGGCCGTTACATTCTACACTTTCTTGCCAAAACTTCCAAGGACAGTGATGGCACTGAAAGACTTTCTGCCGCCTAGGAGGGTAGGGAATTTAATTTTGTAGTACGAAATGTGAGGGTATCTAGGAGGCATTTGAGTTATGAAAAACGGGGATGGCTGTAATGTAGTTGAATTTACGCAGAATTGCATGAACTATTGCCCAAAAACATCCAGTATTTAAACGTGCTCAACAAAAATATGCGGTTGCTTCCAGAAGCTCTTTACAACTTGCTCATTCTTTTTACCTATCAATTAGGCCGCTTCTACAGAACTATTATTTAAAGCTGAAATTCCAGAGCCAAAGTAGACATCGGTGTGCGCTTGAATTCTTTATTATTTTGTTATGACTGTGAGCCCGTATGAGACATGGCTGGTCAATTTAATTACGTCCAGTGTTTCGATGGCTTGTACTCACATTCATTATCCGAAAACAGGGACTAAGTAGGGGTTTGTGTGAGATTCGCTAGCCCATCTTCTGTGACCCGGTGTGTCAATCCCTTTGCCTTCCTTACCAAAGCTAATATAAATGGATTGCGAGCGTCTTTGGTGGAAACTAGACTCCCAACCATCATGGTCAGTTGTACAGTTGCACCCCTTATCATGAATGAGTTAACTGAGGTAATATGGTAAGATGGAAATTTTACACTGTTTCAGAATGCGAAACGCCAACCCAAGTCGTCACTGGGTTGGAATGTACCAACTTCAATAGAGTTTTAGTTCAAAAAAACTTGTTACGTGCTACTCCAGATATACGAGCTCTAACCAAGAGGCAACAATACCAACTAAGTAACCTCCACCATGCACCAAACCGTTGTCTCCCAGAACGACACAACTCTAGAAACTCTATATGGTATTCCTCATACAGGGTTGTTTTAAACGTGGATTCCATTAATTTAATCTATACGTCTTTTAGATCGTTCAAAACTAGATCTGAAGAAAGGCGGACGCCTCTAAGAAGGGCACCAAATTTGTGCACTAATGGTGCTAGTTTATTCCATGGGCCTTCAGCCTGCTTGAAATCAGGATATCATGTTGGCTGGTTCAGTTTATACATGTTACAGATTGTTATGAGGGCAGAGGTTTGACTTGATGCATTATATCCAATCCTTATTTGTATAAGTGGTAGTGAGATCCATCGGAATATTTTTTGATGAAACGTGTTCTTCGATCACCTAACGATTATATGCACTACTCACCTCTCCATGGTGGCGATGATACTGTCAGAATATTGCAGCTTTCGGATCTGCTTGATTACAGTCGGCGGAGGGTTTACAGTCTATCTTCCGGGTTCCAGAGATAAGCGAATTTTTCAATGTTCCTTTCGGAGTTTTTTGCAATGTTGATAATGGTAACGGGGACAAGGCACCATACTCTAATGTGGATACTTGAGATATTTGGGTGCGTCGCCGACTAACGAATCAGTACTACATTGTGGTCCGTATTCATGAAGAATCGATTTTCATTGAGAACCTCAGATTAGATTTTATTCACTTAGTCTATTCAGTTACGGCAGATTACGTTAATCCTATCCGTTTCCTATCCGTTTCTTTTTGTGGGATAGAAACCATGCTATGGAGCGAGTTATCAATAAAGAAATCCATTGAAAGGTAGGGTGGATCGCCTTTTCGCTTCTCGGAAAGTAGAGTAGCAATGTTCAAGTCTGTTCTAAATCTTTCATAAACCGTAGCCAATAACCTGAGGGAATCCAAACTTCAAAATTTAAAAACCGTTCACCGGCGGCCAAAATAACTCCTAATCTTCGGTCAGTTCTTTTCTCATTCGTGACATGAAGACTATTGACCCTAATCACTTTCAAGAAGCGTACTATGCGTTAGATCTCGCAAAGCAGTCGGATGTGGAGGTGAATCACATTCGAGTTCTTAATCTGGAATACAACTGCACCCGAGAAAACATCAGCATTTAACGCACCAGTATGAAAAAAAGACCGCCCGTGGGTAGTCGACACCACACGTATGCGAATCAGATTCTTTTCGGTGATCAGGGTTGCATGTGGATGCCTAAACGTTCGACTCTTGTTCGTTTTGATATAAGCCAAGTACAACGCCTAATTATGCACCAGCCACTAGACCGGCGTGTGAACACAAGTTTTGCCAGCAACATGTAGCCCTACTGCGTGTTGCGTCACAGCGCCCGTTTGGTTTCGTTGATTATATTCGGAGTATTCCATTGTGAGATAGGAACACGGCTCACAGTAATTCACCAAAAGTACACACTTCCTATTGCTGTGCATCAGTAAACCCACATGTTCGAACGATTACCATCAAACAATGTTCTTAGTGTGTAACAAGTGAGCTGACATCGCGTTGACATGCTGTATGTTACAGGTTTGATTTAATCAGTCACGTAACAAGCTCATGACGCAATCGCTTAGAAAGCAATGGCTACAGCGAATGACAGCTGAGCATGTTTCATAAGAGTTCATTAAGTCTAGTGGGTCATCGTCTATCTATATGCTCGTTAACTTTGAAAGGGGATATACAAACCAGAGTGAGCGCCGCTCCTGACATCTTATGGTTCACGCGGCACAGCTAACCTTTGAGTTTAAGGCTGCCTGAAAAAACTCGATGAGTTATAATTCGTCCACGCAACCTCTGGGTAAACACGTGGCTAAATCTGAGTGAATGGCGATAAAAAGTGGCAAACCCAATCAAACTTCCATGTGTACCAAAAGAAGATAAATAAAACAAAAGTCGGGGTAGGCAACTTTACATACGCCGCGATGAGTCTCGATTGTGTTGGGCGTAAAATTGTCTCAGTCATTTCCTTTTAAAAATGCCTAGTTATCCTGCAGTTTACCCCTCTATCGAGACCTAGAGCTTCAAAGAGGAAGTAATGCACTCCACCTCTGCCATATTAAACCAAAACTCAAGTTCGTAGTCTGAAAGTCTTGGAACCAAGCGGTTAGAAGTCCAACACAATCACCAGGTTATGCAGGTTTAGAGCTAAATCGCTGTGGTAACTTATCTCCTAAGAACGTCACTCAGTGGCACTGCCTGCCAAACACCACACCCTTGTGGTTAGGCTTTTGAGCCATCCGAAACGCCTGAAGTTGATGTCGACTACAAAATCTCACAATCTATTGTATGATAAGATGAAATGTGCACATGGACTAATTACCACTAGTGAGTGAACTGGTGTCAAATGTTAGGGCTGTTTCAAAGCCACGTTACCGTATTTCCCCTGTGACCCAATCGGCTGTGATGGCACAATGACAGAAAACAAGCAGTTCTAAAATTCCTCGTGATCCAAAAGATCATATACTTGGATCCTGCGTTCAGTAGTCAATCAACGGTATTTTCATGGTACAGCATGATTTAACATG